GGCAGCGATCCGCCCAGGCATGGATCGCTCGCTCTCGGTCAGCGACGGAACAAAACCCGGGCGTCACGGAGGAGAAAGCGGCAACGCGGTACTGCTCGTCCCCGTCCCACCCAGGAGCTCGGCGGAGGGGATGCAGAATTCCGCCCGTGCCATTCGGGTCCCCTGGAAGCTCGCAAGCTGACAGGTCTGGCCTCCGAGCAGGGAGGCTGCACAGCAATCGGTACCTGGGAGCTGCCGCCAAGATTCCAGACCCCACAGGGAGGAACGCACTTCTGCACAGACCGACACTACCACTGCTCGAGGCCACGGAGCCGCGGCTTAAAGACAGACAGAAGTGCAAGGTGAAATGTTCCTGTTTCATACCACACTCATGCACTCACACACACACCTCAAAACTACCTTTTTCTTTTAAACAAAACTGATAAAGAAAAAAAAAAAAAAAAAAAAAAAACAGTCGTCTTTCCACTACATAATAACGTTGTGTTTTAACTGCAGTCGCCATCCGAGACAGACACGACTCCTCTCCGATCCCTCCGGCTTGCCGTGTGTCTCCCCGCGGTGCCCACCCGCAGCTGGTTTCGCTACTTTGAGACTTTCGCTCCTCTCCGCTATTTCTCACACAACGCGCTTACTCTGTGTTCCTCCAGAACAGGACTGATTCTATGTGCGTGGATTTTAAAGTCTCAGATTCGTGGTGAAATGCTTAAACTAAGCTACAGGACTGACTGAGCTTCGCGAGGGCTGTCCCAGCCCTTCGCAGGGACACAGACACGGGGGTACTCGGATTGCTGCACGGTACCTGCAGTGCCCGGCATCCTGTTCCTACCCACACCAGTTACGCCAGCAGCCTGAACGACAGAGACAAGGCAGGAGAATCCCAAGCTGAAACTCAGCAAAAGGACTAGATTAGAGCCACCAGGTAAACAATAAATAAGCTTATTAAGGTCAACAAGAACGAACGCTAACAGGCTAGCAGGAGTGAAGTCCCCAGGTGCACATCACACACAGTGCCCCTTCCTCACCTCACCTGGTCCCCCTTCCTCACCTCACCTGTGCTGTCATTTTGGAAACACAACTCTAACCCTCGCAGCAGCAGGGTGGAAACAGAGAGCTGCAGGCCTTGCTAGGCTCCAGCCATCCACCCCTTCCAGCCAGCCCCGGGAGCATCAGCACATCGAGACCGAGCTCTCTGCGAGCGGGCAGCCTCCTCCACCGACGCACGAGGGTTGCAAAGAGGCAGGGGGACCCCAGGTTTTGCCAAGCCAATGCTCTTCTGTTGGCTGATCGCAGCTACTCCTAGCACAGTCAACCAGATCAGAGAAGTTAAAAAGGCCTCCTCAAGCTCAAGGTAACAACACTGTTTCTCACAACCGTTTCTTTCTTTCCCCGCACTGGAGAACAGTTACCTGCAGGCAAGAGGTTGTGTTGGCAACAGCACAAGCAGGTTATTTTCGGAAGAGTACTTGCGTGGGCCTCTGTGCTTTTGAGACCTCTAGATTTTTAGGTATACGTGAAAAGGAGGAGGGTGTTTCAAGACTGGCACTGGTAGATTTCTAGCCATGAAAAAAGAAAATCTGGTCATCAGCAGTGGGAGAAGGCTCCATCTTAAGATGCAGGTAGAGCGTGATGCTTCATGATAAAATGGCCTGGACCCTTTTGACCAGTGTTCCACCTTTAAAAGGTGGGTCTTTGCCCTTAGAGTGACAAAGGACATCCGAGGGGATCACGCAGAAATTTCTTTAGTATATTGCTTTTGCTTCAAAGGGCCTCCAGACACACACCTACCACACCATCGCAGAGCACTCGCACTGCAACCAGATTGCCAGGTGAGCCTGCTGACCATCAGAAACATCACCGACCGTCAACCACCACCAATGTAGAGCACAGACTCCTAACGCAGCGCTCCAGGCACACCTGCCGTAACCTCCTCCAAATTAAAAAGAAAAGTAACAAAAGTCACCTTCAGAGCTAAACAGGACTCACATTCAGAACTATGGCTAAAAACCTACAATTTTCACTGCAATGTCTTTTGGAATTTAGTGGAAGATGCTATTTCTAGACAATAAACCATCTAATTAGGCTTTTCAAGCTAATCAGGTTACAAAATGCCATTTCAAAAAGTCACAACAGTTTAAAAAAAGCCCTCCAACAGCAATTTAATTACGCCTCATAGACATTTCGAGAAGCAGGACTCATGCCAAGCAAGTAAGGCTGCTCCGAGATGCCACTTCCCATGCCGGCGGCTCTGCGAACACACCCATTCCTACAGCAGTAATTTCATCACTCTGTCAGGTGAAATGAGATACACTTAGAACCACCAAACTGACATTCGTGGTGTTTTACACCTGTGCTACCTAAGAGACTCAATCAACCATTCCTCTTCTGCTCCACTTCGCGTTGACAGAGAGCCAGTTCAGCTCCGCGAGCGCCAGGGAAGAGGGGTGAAAGAATTCGAGCTTAATTCCCGTTCTAGCTAACCACTTCACCGCAATCCTACCATGCACTCATTCTCCACTGAACCCTCGCTGCTCAGACATTCTCTACTGCTCGCCTTGGGTTTGTAATACTTTGATATCAAACCAGAAGTGTTTGTGGAAGACTCACTAGCACAGCAAGTCTAAAAGTGTGCCACTAACAGTTTGCTGTCCATCCTCAGCACGGGATGAAGGGACATCGGCAAAAGCTTCAGCTGCAACAAAAGCTCACAGTATTTTGTACATGCCATTCTGTACACACAGCAGCATCAGAATCAGCTGGTCCGCACCCCAAAGTGTCTCAAAATCACCTCCACTGTTCTTCTAGAGAACACTGGGGAGAGCTGGAAGTGTCAGGTCTTACCTAGCAGTGCACTAAGGGGGAAAATAAAGCTATGGTTCAAGCATCAGCCGAAGGTGGACAGTTCCAGGCACATGATTTTTACTGCCGCACACGCAGGCAAGCACACCTGAAAGGGGAATGACGGATACCCTACTGCACACATGGACTCTCGGGCAGTCGCTTCTGGATTTCACCAAGACACTCGATGTTTCAGCCAAAGCATGTGGCTTAGGGCCTCCAGGCCTCCTCCTACTTGAGGAACAAAGTTGATGGTAAGAAGCAGCCACAATTCGTGGTGCAGCTTTCCTACACCACCTTCTTTGGGCTCTCGGATATGAGTACCATGCTCTGGGAGCGTAACTACACACAGCATGAGCGCACACACTGATGGTGCAATGTCAAGGCTACGTCCCTTAAAGCTCTGCATTTCATACGCCATTATCCTCCCATCCACTCCTGCTTGGCCTTCTGGACCAGCCCCTGGGTCCTGCATTCCAGAAAACGCCAGTTGCTATCCCTTATCAATTGTAGTTGTGGAAATGAAAAACACTCTTCAGTGCTACCATTCAAACCATTACAACCCAGACGGGCCAGTTACAAACCACTGCACTAGCCCACAAGGAACCGTTTTACAGATAAGAGCATGTTGAGTTTTCAGTCGTGTTCTGCGTCCCTGACAAAGCACAGCATCATCAGCGCGTCAATACCATCTGTAGATAATTCGGAATGGTAATAGCTTAGCAGCAGCAAAATCAAATAAAAGGAGTGTTAGAACTTTATGGCACTGTCGCTAACAAAGTTGACCGAGTTAACTGCTCAGGGCACTTCCGGCCTGCTGACGGCAGCGCACACCTCACATCTACACACCGTGTCTTTAACCTACTCCAACACAAGTTGTACAGCTCGCGTGAGTATTTGATCCCAGTCAGTATTTTATTCTGTCTTGTGAGTGGCAGAGGAAGAAAGGGAGGACATCTTTTCAGCCAAAAAAATCCACAGTCACAAAAGCAGGATATTCACTAGAAGATGACAGCAGTGCCTGGTGTCCTTAGGTTGTCCAAGACTATGCTCTGAAGATGCTTTACATAAGATGAGCAAGATGTCCAAAACAAGGCCAACTGTGGTGTAAGATGCAATTTACCCTTTAATTTCCTGCCTCAATTTCACCCAGCCACAGAGGATGCCTAGATTTCAGTACGAACCGTTACCTAAATCATATAGTTGGTATGCAGATATATGTCTTTCTTTAAAAATTTACTTAAAAACTGCTTGAGCTGCAGGTCATATCAGTCTGATCTGGAGAGTGAAGGCAGTTCCAACAGTACAACAGAGACTTGTCTACAGGCAGGTAAACGAGAGTCTGCTAACAAAGGGGTAACAAAAGCTGCTGGCTGGGCTGCCAATGTTGCACACAAACTTTCATAGGATGGCGATGCTGTGGATGAGATCCAGGATGGGAAAACTGAGCCAACACCTGCTGCTGTTCTAATTTTTTTTTTTTTTTCCTTTTTTAATTCTCCTCTCACAAGAGGGGGTGGGTAGACTATACAGAGGAGGGCTGTACAAAACTGGGCACTGGGCAGGCATTTCTTCAGCAGGCAATCCAGGCTCTACCTGTCCTTGAGCTCTCTTGTCACCCGCTTGGTGATGCGTCCACACATCAGGCCGATGAGGAAGAGTACACAGATGCCGACTGTGATCACAGATAGTATGTAGTTCTTGGACGGAGAGGTCATAACTTGCATGGCAAGGTCAGAAAACCCTTCTGCTGGGGCAACCTGGAGGGAAGAAGGGAACAAATGAGCCAAGTTGCACTTTCCATGCGACTCTCAGCCTTGCCACTGATCAGGTTTGGTATCTGGTACTGCTATTGCCTCCTGTCATCGTCAGACTTGGCCTGAACCACAAACAAGCGGGCCTGCAACGGTTCATCTGAAGGAACCACTGCTCAGGAGACAGCTTTGTAACAGGGACTTCTGCTGACCCTATTTCATTCCTTCTTTACAGGAGGCCAAGGCCTGCGTGCACAAAAGACAGTTTGCTTCTGCACTGTTGAGGATGCATCCCAGGCACTGAGAGAGTAAGGCATACAAGTTCAAAAAACGAGACCTGATTTCAATTTTTCTGGACCAAATTCAAAATGCAAAACTTCAGAGACAAGAATCTCATTACAGTTGAAGTTTTTCATAAATAGCTTACAACAGAAAAATCCAATGCAAAAAAAAAATAAAAAAGGAAATCCTTGACATATTGACCTTTGCGGCATAGCTCCACATTTCAATACGATCATTAAGGCGTTTCTTGCATTCAGGCTGCAACCTCACACGCTTGTCTTCCAGAGCTTCCATTAAGCACGACATTTCTGTAAAGCACAGAAGATGGTGTTACAAAATAGAAACAGTGGCTTCAACAACATCCTTTGGAAAGGGACACTTCAATTCTGCTAAAGGCTGGTAGTCACAGAGCTTTCTAAACAGACTAGCCAGCCTGGTCTACTCTACACAAAGCCCTGTTGTACCCTTGAACCTAGCCATTTCACTACGATTCATGATTAATATTGCATTTTGAGGCGCAAGGAATTTTGACTTCCAAAACCAAATGACAGTACATACCAAAGATGTAATTAATGTGATTTACACAAGATTTTAATAAAGTCTTATAAATTTGCACCTTCAGTGAGCTGTATTCTGAACACTGTGCCACAACCCTTGAGAGAACACTAAGATCAAACACACCTCAGGAAGAAACACACTGTGTCTCCTTAGGCTTGTTAGGAAATTTCTTTTCATCAACAAAATGTTTTGGAAAGGTGTAACTACCAAAACTTTCACACAGCCCTGTGCAAAGGAAATGAAATCACAACGTTCCGGGTGGCTACGGAGCCATTTGGCTAAGTCGTAAGCTGTTTTATATGCTCATATGAGACACTGACACAACAGTTTGCATTTTGTACTTATGCTGCCTTATTTGAATAATCCCTAATTGGATGTTTTCTGCTTTGCAGTGAAGAGTTATTTTGTTCATAGCAAACAGGCTGTAAAGTTTAAACTAACTCCAGCCTTTTTACACAGAAATGTCAGTTCAAATGGTCAGAGGCAGATCCCTCCCTAAGCTAGAGACTTCTGCATACCTGCAGTGCAGACACATCAGAACACCCATCAAAAGAATTAAGACAAAACAGGAATAAATACAGCATATCCAGAATTTCAGACAGGCATTCAGTAACCAGCATGAAAGAATCATCAGGAAAATACCTGGCTGCTACTTTTAACGCTAGATGAGCCCAGAAAGATGGGAAAGTTCACAACATTTTTCCTCCCCAATAATCTTCCTTAAACAGCCACACATATTTTCCAGCTAGCTAATGTAATAGCAGTAAACAAAGTAAAAGAGCTTGACCTCAAACAGGAAAAAAATGGGTTATGAAATAAATAAATTATGTTTCAAGCGGTCTGAACCTGCCAAACTCAGGTCTTGGGGGGACTTCGAACAGGTGATGAGGTCTCAAAGCCTTTAGGATCTATGTGAACTTAGAAAAAGTAGCAAATATTACCTACCCCTCTCATATCGGAGAAGAAAAAAATGGTGTACTTATGCAGAGAAAAAAAAAAGAGGTTCAAAGGACTTCAGGTTAATTTTGTCTGTCAGAAATACTGAAACGAAGCCGACCATGGACAATGACTCACACAAAGAAAGACAGACCAAGGGAATCGGTTAAGAATGAATCTTGTGAAACCAGATTGATTTGCTTCTGTAAGAGAAGCAGCTTAGTTCCAGGGAAGCTTCTGCTACAGTCTGGTATCAGATTGTCGTAAGCAAGCTTGGGAGCTGTATCCTTTGTGAAGCTCAGACAGGGTGGGAGCTAAACCTCACTGAACAATGAATCTGGGTACTTCGTGTGTATTAAGAGCTTGTTTTCACCAGGATTTAACTCAGAAAGGATTTTATAGAAGGGTTACGGATCTGGTATCACACAATGTCAGTAATCATATGAATGATGGGACATAAAATACACTCGTTAAATTCGCAGATACGGCTGCAAGGATGTTGTATTAGGACTGAAGAACTGGTCCTGCCTTGGACACTAGGAAGGACTTCTTGATGCCCATCTTCTAGCAGCATCTACCACCCCTGCAGTTGTTCCACCTTATTACCTGCACAGGACTGGTGGAAATATCTTCTACGTAAGAAAATTCAGCTAAAGGCCCTCAGGACTGAGAGGTTACAGGAGTAAAGCACAAGCACTTACGGCGTCCTCTCCCTGGTGGAATGGCAGCACAGTGGTGTTTGATGTCTAGGGCACAGGCTGTGTGGAGCACTGGGTCAACAAATATATCTGCTTTGCTTTCTTTTAGCATGTTGAGCACTTCCTGGGGAGGGAGAAATTACAAATACGTCTCAAAAAAAAGGAGCGAATAGAACTCGTACTGCTCAATGCTTCTGAAAGGTGCATCATCTTTTAAATCCAGGATCATGAAACAATCCCACCATTCACTGGATGAGGGTACGAATGCTGTTTAGGCTGGATTCAACGTCCTGGTTTAGAACAGTTACCATAGTTATGTTCATTAAAATACCCATATTAATCTAAGATACAAAGTCAATAGACCACGGTTACTTCAATTAGAACTGAAATAAGGTGCCATAGCCATGGGGACCACTCATACAGCCCTTGATCATAGCCAACACCTAGGCCATACCCAGCACTCGGGAAGCCCGAAATGGAGACAGCAACAGCAAACAGATTAGTAACAAGAAACTTTGGCCACCGTAATCAAGAAAGGATCCAAGCCTGGAATTGCAAAGGAGGAACTGTCGGCACAATTTTCACGGGCAAATTGAAGCCAGATTGAATTGCTGCAGGCCAGAACTGAGATGGGTAAAGAAATTTGCTTCACACTAGCTAGAACATGGCCTGGGCTGTGATCTGGAAAAATGGCCAACTTCTGCAGGATGGGATGCCTTTCAGAGCACGTTCAACTTATTTCCGTTACCTTCTTGCACATTTCAGTTTTTATTTTTAGCAGATTCACTTTCAGACATTCTTCCACCTGCCCAGTCTGCTCCTGAGCTGCTGCTTCTTCTGCACACAAGCTGGAAATCTATTTTGAAAGAGGGATTTTAACATCAGTAGTTCACAACAATTATTCTGCCTTTTAGCACATTTATATCTCGGTACATTAGTTCATCACAGGATGCAGCTAGAGAACACGTGATGAGATGCTTTGCTTCCCAGAACCCCAAAGCCAAAGGCAGCCTGGCTCATGCAAAATGCATATCCTTTGAAACCCAACAGCAAGAAGTCAATATTGCTGTACTGAGAGGAGAGCAGGGAGAAAAACGGCACAGAAATATTGTTACGATATGAAATGAGCAATATTTGAGACATGCCTGATTCGGTTATCAAAAGTGAAAGTTTAAAATCTGATTGTATTCCAGTTAAGGCTGACAAGAGCAGAGAACTAGCACACTTTTTTTTTTTTACAACAGGAAAGCAGTCTTTTTCCATAGTCGTGAGTACTGATGAGATTCCAGATGAAAATATGAACTTCATATCAGCACTGAACAGAAAACCATAATTCTTGAACATTGGACAAAAATCACAAGCAGAGAACCTGACCAGCCAGCAGCAGTTCAAAGGGGGGGTTTGTTTGTTTTAATTATCAAGATGGTTCATGTTTTGAGCAACAAAATCTGTTTCGTGAAGGGAGTTTTGATCCTGAAAATGTAGCTGCGGAGCTACTTCTCCTACCTCTTCAGAACAGTGCATCTGGAGCTGGGGATCCAGCCGATAATCGAGAGCCGATTCCTGGATGATTACTCGAATCTGGTCCTCGCAGTCTGGAGAGAGACGCTATTAAGCGGAGAAAGTCATTAACCCACTCAACGACCTTTATTTTCATAAATCAATCACCTCACCTTGCATTTTAAGCTGTGTATTCTGTAATACTTGGATAGGAGCATAGCAACTCGTTTACGTACAGCCTGTTACAGACACTGAGGACACCACAAGCCCAGCAGAGCTTCTCGTTTGCGTGCACCCAGCTCTACTCACCTGGTCTGCGTATTTCAACTTCAGGCATGAGATGACTTGCCCTTCCAACTCTGTATCATCCTTGGCCCTGTTCAGGATATTTTGGCAGAATTTTGGTATGTCTGCTTTGCACGCCTTCCTGAGCACTGGATTTAAGCGGTAATCTAACCGGGAAAGATGACAGAACTTCATCAGAGTACACATCTCTTCAGACTACAGAACGTAACACTCCAAAAGAGCTTTGAACAAAATTTCCCGGGTGACATTGTACCACCAATGAATCTAGTTTTTGGGGAAAAAAAGTGTTTTTTCACAACAGAAATTTAATTTGTGAGGTAAGAGTTTCAGCATTAAAGTGGATCAAGTAACACATGCTGACCCTCAAGAGAACTTGACTGAACAAAGCCAGTGTACGTGCTGACAGCCATGAAGGAGAATAAAACAAAGCACATATTCCTTCAGCCATGCAGACCGCTCAACAGCTCAGACAGGTAAGTTCAGTTTTGCTCAGACAAGGATACCTGTGTTCTGCGTAATCTGGCGCTTGGTAATCATTTGCTTGCATTTCGGATCCATCACTTCACTGTTCTTGTTTTGTTTCAAACACTGCAACATATTTTTCGAGTCTGCCTCTGGACAAAACCGCTGCAAAAAAAAAACCAAACCCCCTCAAGTTTCATCACTAAGCACTTGAAAAAAACCCTAACTTTATCTATGGAAGAGAATAATCACCTGCCCAACGCAAATGTATACAGACACACTCCCTAGGCCCAGCACGTCCTACTAAAAACACCAGTGGTACTCTCTAAATTGACTACGGGCACGAGCATCTCTGCTGATGGACCGAGCACTAAGCCGCACAGCCTTGGCTGGCTTCTAGGCACTGGTTTGTGTTGGCGGTACCAAAAGCAATTTGCCAATTTGCCTTTATTCTCTATTCTTCAGTCACAGCACGCTTTGCAAGATGAATCTGGAAGAAGTAAAGACGAAAGAGAAGAGCCCTGAAGAAACCTCAGCCCGATTCAGAGTTAAGAAACAGATTACTTTACAAAAAAACAATCACACTTCTGAAACAACACAGCAGTCTCATTATAAGCCTTTATGGGAAGCTCAGAGTTCTTGCATTCCAGCCTCACCCTCTTAAACCAGCACACTACCATTACCTTGATCATCTGCTTGCAGACTCTCATGAGCGTGTAGTCCAGTTCTGGATCCATCATCTCCGTCTCCTGCAGTTTAAACACCTTCTGGTGGCACCGGGTACTCAATTGCTTCTTGATTTCTTTCAGGCATTCAATAATCTACAACGCAGTAATACAACGGTAACAGACACGCGGTCGATACGATTCTGTCACACGCAGCTCCAAACGCTCAGCTATGGGTTCCCCTAATGGCTGTCGTCACCTGATCTGTGCAGTTAAGTTCCCAATGCCTAGATTTTATCAAAAGTCATTACCAATGCTTAATTCCAGGACTTGCTTTAAGCTCATCTTTTCTCAAAGATTTAATGAGACAGAGAGGGTCACCTGGACTTACCCCAAAACCCCAAACCTCATCTTGCAGACATTACACCTAAGAAATCTTTAGCAACGTTTGCAGTAACCAGCTACTAATACCTTAAAACCAGCGTTAACTGAAGAATGAAGTGCTCACAGCTTTGTGGTCACCCAGTATTAACGCTTGTGAACCAGTGAAAAAAAAAAAGTTCTAAAATACTGTCAAAAGACTTCAGTTGGTATCAAAATGAAAAACTAAAGCTGCACTCACAGGGAAAAAGCGTTCTTCAAAATTTTTCTGAAATGAAAGTACAAATTAAATTGTAAATTATTAATAAAATCCATTACCTGAGCATTGCCATAGGGCACGTTTTGGCAGTAATTCTTGATGTCACTTTTACAAGCTTCATACAGTTCTGGTTCAAGTCTGATATCCTCGGTCTGCAGGATAAATTACAACATGAACTTGTAAGTAGGACTCTAAAGAGACTATTTTGCTTTGTTAACAGATTAACAGGAGCCCTTGACTCCCAAAAAGCAAGCAACTCTCACAGGCAGGTCACTCCCTGGGAATTTAAGGGTCTCAGGTGTGAGAAGTGGTGTTAGTGGGAAATCAACTTTGCAAATCCATGCAGTAGATCAGCTGGCTTTTTACACTCAAGAAAGGGTTTAAAGCAAATTTTAGAGCTGACAAGTTGTTTCCACTGCTCCTCCTAGAAAGGCATCAACACAAATGCCCAAGACAACGAGAATCTCTTCACAGGAAAGCTAAAGGACTATTAATAGCCACCCATCCAGTGGGTGACGTGGAAGACGTGAATGAAGTTTCCCGCTTTTATCAATGCCTGGTATTTGAATCCTTCCATACAACGGCAAGCGTGTCTGTCTCTCCTCATATAGGCTTAGGGTGAAGCTTTTACACTCAATATCTACTGGACAAAGACCTTAAGAGCTGATCGCTGCAAGCACAGCAGCAGGAAGCCAAGCGGCAGCCTTGCCTACCAGAACAAATACTACTCCTGTTTATCCACTGAGCAACTCAGAGCAGCTGGAGTCGAGTTGCTTCATCTGTGCTTGTTTCCTCAGTCTGTAAAATGAAGCTTTTATTCTCTCTTCGAGGACTTCAAGGACATCAGCATGTGTAGCACGTTGCTATCTAACACTAAACATAATCACTTCTAGCTGAAATTCCAAAGAGCATTTAGCTTGCCTTAGCCTTCATGTGACAATATTTAAGGCATTAAAGCACACAATCATCACTTTCACCGTGAAGGGCAACTGAGCCTCGTGTTGCAAGAAGAGTGGAAAAAATAAACTAGATACATCTTACAAGGAAGCTTCCTTTTTTTGCTAGGGTGGTCAAACCAGGAAGCTTTAACTGAAGGACCTCGCTAGAAGAGTGGGCAGACCACAAGTTTCATGCATGTTTACCATCTCTAGCTCCTCAACACGCAGCTGTTTGCGGCACTTCAGAGAGACTCTGTGCTCCTTGGCATCCTGCAACGTATCATTGCGCACAGTTGTGCTCAAACATATCACTACATCCACCCTGCAGAAAAGAAAACAGCTTTTTACTCGCAGGCCCTTCACTTCGACCAGTCAAGACTGGTGTTGGATCACCACATCAGAGAGACCGACCCCAAGAATCCAAACATAACATGAAGTCCTTGTGCATCTACGCTCACTTTTAGCCTGGGTACAGCTCTACGTCAAGTAACCGGATCACAATTAAAACCTAAATCTGATGCTATCTAATTGGAGGCTAGATCAGCAGCCAGGAAGATCTTAAAAATCTCCCCACGCCCCTGCCCAGCAAGGCCTCTGCTTTTAAGTCACGTGAGCACTTTAGAAAAGCGTTACTTAATCTCAGAAACAGATGAAGGTGAATACCTACACGGCATTGCAAGCAATCCCTTTGTATTATGGCAAGGGCATTTACATCATAAAATGCAAATAATCTCACTATCCATGAACAAGACTGACCTTGTGTGTAATTTAGCCTTACATCCTTGCAGTAGGCCACTAAAAAAAACCCCTTATACTGAAATGAATAAACCAGCTAAAACAAGTGGGATATCCTCCCCTCCCAGATCAGCAACTGGAACAACGGTAGCCTGCATCTTCAAAGACGATAAATCTAGCATGGATATAAAACACCCTGGGACATGCAGTCCACTAATTGTAATCATTAGCTATTTTCAGAGCAAGAAAAATAAAGGAGGACAGGCTTGTAGGCAAGAGTAAAGCAGAAGTAATTTTAAAGAGGCAGGCAATGCCTCTACCTTAAGCATCTGCAGAATGCAGTCACTAAGGGAAAACACGCAAAACAATCAGCCTTTAAAGGAAGTCCAGCGTTTTCTGTCCCACCATGAAATATCCTGTAACTTTATCACATATTTATACCATCAGATTGCTGTTTGGTCAGGTGCTACATACTTTTTTTTGATGTTGGGGCAAAGTTTCAGCACGTCCTCCTTGCAAGCCATTTTGAACTTGTATGAGAACCTAAAATCTTTCATTTGAACCTGCAAGAGAGAAATAAGGGAAAAAAAAACCACGACTTTGGTCAGCTGAAGAAAAAAAAAAAAAAGGAGAAAATACTGCCCAAAAGAACACTTGTTGAATCATACACTCAACAAACGCTTTTGTCCACAACTTCTTAACGTGGAAAGAAGGGGGACGCTGCGCTGCTGAAGAAGTTGGGACCCTATCTACCATATGCCAGGAGGAAGGAGGGCCTGAAAAGAAATCAACTCCAGAAGTGACCGTATATGACCACGTGTGCAAGTCTGAATTCACAAGAGCCCTTTAAATACAGCGGGAAATCAATCTCAAAGGAGGGGTTTAATAATTAGCTAATTCCTGTCAACACCCTCCACCAACAGAATGAGCTTCCACTGATAGCAAAGTGCTGCTTACCAGCTGGAAATGAGTAACTCCGATTGCACATTTTTCATTCATTTCCTTCTGGTGTTTGTTCTGTATTAGGCACTCCATCAGGTCCCCCGAATCAATCTGGTTATCCGCAACCTCCTGCAGAAGAGATGGAAGGCTTAAAAACGAGCTTCTCTTACAAGCCATGATTTTTATGCTCCTTTAGCCCAGCGTGACCAGGAAATCATGGAATTTGCAGTCCCACTCTATTGTGAGCTTACACTCACCATTAACTGACCCCATGAGAGTTGTACCATGCAAAGTATTTACAGATGCAGTCCAGAAAAGAATCATCTCTGGTACATGCACGCGTTTGACTCGGGAGAAGATACTGCAGAGCCTCCATGCTTACATGAAGTACTACAGTTTGGTGCCCAGATTGCTATGTCACTACTCAATCCCAGAGCAATGTCAGGAGTTATCTCAGCAATGCTGAGCAGCTGCACCGCGTGGAGTGGCTAGACACGCTGCTTGTGGGCACAGGGGATGGAAAAACGTTTCCTTGTTAACCCACTGTAAAGGGTGATTTTTCCAGTTACAGGGCTTTTATATGCTTGGGCTCTAACAACAGCAGAAGTGCTAGATGGAACTAAGAATTTATGTTTTAGAGTGGTTTTTTTAATTAAGAGACTTTTGTAACGGCTTACATTTGATTTTACTTTTGAAGTGTGGCAAGTACACCAAGAACTAACACCAAAAACCTCTAACCTTTCCCACAGAGTGTTTTTTCCCTGAAGATATCACATGATTACGGAATACTCACATGACAGTACGTCTGGATAATGGGCTCACACGCTCTCATCAGCAAGGCTTCAATCTGAATGTCCTGCAGAAAACACACAATCTTTCATTTTCACAGTGAACGAACAAGAAAAAAGGCGCTGAAAAAAACCTGTGATAACAAGTCAAACTCAACCCAGTTTACAGGGTTCTGAATGACACAATCCAGACAGCTTTGCCCTTCAGTTCTAGAAATCCTAGGGTTCACTCTCGCTAACGACGTGGCAAATGCAAGACAAGCCTTCCAGCTTAAGGGAAGAGCTTGGTCTCCACAGAAACTCACTGCTTAGGCATTTCAGCCAACCTTCTCCGAACCGGATGCTACAGCACTAGAAATCATCTTACATCTATGCAGGAATTAAAGATTAATGATAGTTCTGAGCAAACAATTTTATAACTACTGGATGGAAGCTTTCCCTAGGGCACAATGTGCATTTTAGGAGATACAGGGAACAGTTTGGGGCAAGACAGTCAAATATGCAGCTTCATAAAATAAGTAAAGCTTCTGACCTCACTGAAAACCTCTCATGATGCACCTGGCAGTTGCTTCTTGCAAAATTCTTGGGACAGGGGAGGGAAGCTGCAATATGGTACTCAAAACTACTTGCACGCAAGACTGAAAAATGAAGTCCTAAGACATACCTTGACTTGTACTAAAGGCAACTGGGTTACCTGTCCAAGAAGTCCTAGCTTTAGTACCATAACCAATTTTAAGTAGGAGAAATGTCGTCACCAGACTAAAATCCTGAACCATTGCTCAATTCTCTTCCCCAAGAACCCCACATGAAAAACATTGTACAGGGTAGAACAGATGGTCTCTACTGGATCCCAGAGAGCTGCATTTCTCCAGCTACCCAAACCCCATTTTTTTTTCATCGCTATCAAAATGACATGCTTAACTAGACATGCTCAACTACTCCCAGGCTGAAAACTGCTCACCTCGGACTCCAGCTCAGTGAGGTTGCCCACTATGTCCCTGCAATCGGACACCAAATCGTCCAGATGGTCCTGAAGGCATTCCAGCTCCTACAAAACCAGACATTTTAGCGTGTGACCCAAGAACCGAATTTGAAAATTCAGGCTTGAAATATTGTAACACACATGAAAATGTCCTCCTCCTTGTAAAGTCCTAAGTCTCATTTCATCCCACTCCTCTGCTGCCACTCCCAGAACACGTACATGTAGCAGTGATTGAGAATGTTGTCCAGGACATTAACCACTTGTTCTCAAAAGCTGCATAATACGTATTCACTCCTGGAACATCACACATAATTTGCCCTTCTCACAACCTTAACGAGAGATTAATTACACAAACTACAACCTATGATTGGCACTTCAAAAAAACAATGGTGTATGCCCTACTGCATCTGCTGTGGAACAGCTCCGACCCTACAGTTATGCTAGGGCACAGCAATTTAACATGAAAGTGCTTGTTGAAACTTTGTTAAGTAGCAGCAGATGTTAGTTCAGTTCTGTATAAACACAGGAAGCACCTCAGTATTTGCCAAATGGAAATGGGATAAAGTTTATGCGGGAAATGTCAAGCTTGTAATAGAATATTACAAGCAAGAGGCAAGGTGGGGCGGGGCTGCTTCATTAAAGTCCTTGTTGTTAACCATGCCCTTCCCCCTTCTCATTCCACTACATACTTAAACCTACTGAAGCCATGCAGGAGGCGCAAAGCTTCTTCGTGTTACCTCTGTCTCTCAGTCGAGTGTAGATTATGTTTCAAACCGGACGTGATTTTAATATATTCTCAGCTATAAAGAGACAGCTAACAAGAAGATGTCCCTTTATCCCCTTTTTCCGCCCTTCCCACCCCTCCAGCTTTCCAAATGAATTAGCAGCTTTACTGTGCACAGTACCTGCCCTGTCTCCGTCTTTTCACTGCACCACTTCCCCAAGTCAATCATGCACTTGTCCTGCAGGGCTGGGTCCAGCTTCACATCCATGGCACGCTGATGGAGGATTCTCTGCACCTCTGCTCGGCACTCTCGCGATAGCTGCAAAGAGCGTTTAGCATACAGGGTCTCTAAATCCACACCATGCAAACACAGTGCTGTCAGGTAAGGTACTGAGAGCAACCTCGAACGCCATCAGCCCTCCCAGGATGCACAGAAGTCATCCTGTACTGCTCAGCACGAGCTGGCTGGGCCCCCCCCAGTGATCCAGGCTCCAAAAGAGTTCAGAGCTGTGTCATTTAGTTTGGATGGAGGCTCCTTTCATTCCACTAGAATGAATATATTCTTAGAACTTCACTTTGCTTTTGAAATGAGATGTCAAAGTAGGTCCCTAGACTATCTGCTGCACTGGCAAAGTGAAAATAGCCCATGCCCTCAATACCAGAAGAGAAGCCCAGAACAAGGTAATACAGTCCAGCTGTAATTTCTTTTCAGCAATCCCCACTGCAGCACATCAGTGCCAGCACTTGCAAGCCCAAGGAAGAAACAAACCGTAGAAAATCAAGGGATACTGGTATGGTGGCTTGTCAGACCTAAAATACACCAATTGAAGCTTAGAACTTCATAAGTTTACAAATTCAAACCACTGGAAGTTACCCAGCATTTTGTGCACAGCACTGGAAAAAAGTGCAGATCTCGCCTCCAACGAACTGGCTTTCAAACACTGAATTTCAAAACGACAGCTGCTCCCTTAGCCTACTTTCCACACAAAAAATACATTTTAAACCTTTTCTTTCTCTGATAGATTATTTGCAGGGTGGCTATTGATTCCTTTGGTCAGCACTAGCACAAAATGGAATTAAAAACTCTCAACTCAGCAGACTAAGAAACTGCATCAAAAAAAATTATTCCTAAAAGAGAGATGCTTTCAATCAATACTTGACCTCTGCCAAAAAACACCTTTTAAATCAATCTGCAGAAATTAATTTTTAAGCCAGGCCATTGTGGAAACCCATCAACTCCTGGGGCTGTGCACACTACAGTGCCAAAAGAAACAGAACCGACTACCCAGCTGCTTTTGAGGGAGTGATTTTATAGGCACGAGAAGGCAGCAAACTTGAGAAGAGAAGCTCTGAACCAAACAAATGTCCTTACGCTGGATCTCCCGACTGCAGGGCAGCAAGTCAGATCCCTGCCGTCTGCTTTACAGACAACATAACCACATTTACCTGTACAATATGCTCTGAAGAACTGAAAGGATGCTTTATATCAGTAGGAAGAATTTAGCGGAGCATAATCTCAAGCTGTACTCAAATCAGAACTTCAATAGAAACAGCCTAGGAAAGCTGGGCTTGGAACTCCTTTTTGCATAAAATCAATTTTGCAGCTATGCCAGCTATCTGCAAGGAATCACATTCCTCTTTGGAGAGACAAGCGGGAGGACTGGCACTGTGTCTAAACAGATACACGAGAGTTGTTGTCAGCACACAGTTCCCCCTGCGGGCAACTGTCACATCGTGACGGGGCTATTTTGCCTTACCAGAAAAACAGCACAGACCTTTGAGGCACATTTGAGGAGGTGCTGGGCATCCGAAGTAGCGCAAGTACCACCTACGGTTAATGCTTTTGCAAGTTCTCGCAGTTTTAGCACAGCGTGTCTAACTTCCATACGTACATAGAACTGTTCCATCCCAGATCAAAGAGCAGTAAGCTGCGCTCCAGCACTTACCCTCCTCCCTTGCTCCTCTGTGCGGTACGCGTGCCTGTACAAGCAGGAGAAAACAGCCCCTGGAGGCATCAGCTCACTCGTCTCATTCCAGCCATGGGTATGGCAGAGGCGCGAGGCATCTCCCTGACACTTGCGGTAAAGGACTGTATCCAATCTGCAAACAGAGAAGTTATTACTAGCACTTTATTCAAACCTTTAACGTTTTTCATATTCTGAAATTTTGAGGCAGAAAAACCTACTTCAAGTTTCACAGGCCACCAGCTCATTCAGCAGCAGTGCCTAACCAACCGAACCAACAGGTGGTAAAACGTCTGTCACTCAGCTTGGAATCAGCTCCCTAACCTTGCAAAAATACATGAAGATCTTTAATTACAGATTAAATCTTCAGCGCTTCTCGAAGCACCTCCCATTCCCTTCGTCAGCATGCCAGCCAAATGCTGACACATGAGAAAAATCCTCTCCTTGACGTCCTCGAGCAGCAGAGAGGCAGGGACACACCATGCTTCACTTGTATAGTATCTTACATGTACTTTGTGCTGCTGCCATTTTGAAACGCCAGTTTCATAAAAATCCGAGTTAGATTGTGGTCGGCTCTGGATCCGAGCTAACTGAAGACTCAGCGTCAAGAAAACTGCAAGTGCAGGTATCTTAAGACGACATCTAATTACATTAAAGCTAAGCGAGATATTGCCAACTTTCCAAAACGGAAACTTCAGATTTCTACACCACTTTCGAAGGCAAACATCAAGTGATATCAATGGACACAATTACACAGGTTACAATGAAAGCAGTATGAAAACCATTTCCAGTCTGTGTGTCTGTGCTAGTCAAACAGTTAACAGTTTGTAAGCCAGTTTTAGTCATGTTTATCAAATTTATATTGTCCTCATCTTAACCCACACAGACACAAGGGGCTCTATACATGTTTAAAACAAAGCACTGCCATCTTTGGATGAGAAAGTAGGAAAAGCAGTGCTCCAAAAGGAATTACATCTGCTCTACAGGCTGGAACCACACCTACAGAATTTGAAAAAAGGCAGAAATGGAAGCAAGGAGCCTCTCACTCCGTGGTTCTTTGTTATACTTTGTAGCTTAGTTTTCTTAACTCCCATATTGTAGCACCTGGAGCAGATAAAACTGGCTGCTGCCTTGCACAGAAAGCGACATTCAGTGTGGCCGGAGAGACTTCTTTTAATTAAAGACGCATTGCATTTCCGAGCTCAAACTTGAGATGCTTTTCAAGGTTGCATCATTTTTAAGCAAGTACCTGATTTAAGTGGGCACCACACTTACTTTTTCTAAGCAGCTTTTGCTTCCACTCTTCTCAGCAGGCATTCATGCCCTACAGACCTGGTATGCTTAAAAGTCCTCTTTTACTAATGCATACAAACACTAAATACAAGCATCAAGCAAGGATAAATCTTCTTTTACAGTACTCACTTCCAATCACGAGATATAAAATACTGGAGCTCCAGGAGCCTATGCTCACAGTCCTCTACCATCTTCTCAGTGTACAAGTGCTCCATCAGGCATGACAGAATCCTACAAAGAGAAGAAAAACATTAGGCAACAGACTGTTCTAATCACGCTGAGCTTCCTTGGAACAGTGTTGCCAAATCAGTCTTTCCAATGGACCACAGAGAAGACGTTCAAACCCAGTGAAGATCTTTCTCTTCCTTCAAAAAGATTACAGCTAAAACAACTGCATACCACATTTGTACCCTCATAAATTCCATTGTTTTAGTTATCTCCGCAAGTCTGCTACACAACAAAATCATAAGGAACATTTTATATAAGATCTGGCTTGGGAGACAATGTATCTCAGACCTGAAGATAAAGGAGACATTTGTCTCTCCAGTACGGGTTTGCTTAACTGGCCTTTCAAGGCTCATTACTTTTCTTTGTGATCTTGCTGAAGACTGATGTAGTAAGAGAAATTAGCACATCAAACGTTACAAATGTAATCAAAGCGCCTGAGATAGCTACGTCCTTCACCACTGCTAAACCAGCTCTGTTATAAAAATACTGGCCTGCTTATATGCCAAGAATGAAGACAGAGCTCGGTTCACACCTCAACCTTCCATGAATCACTAGTCTGGAGTCCCATTTCTGGACAGGTATTAGTATTTATACTGGTCAGCCACACAACCAGCATGGATGCCCAACAGAAACAAAACCCAGCTGTAACAGAGCCACGTACATCGGGTCTCCAGAGCGTATGTGCTTGCAGGCAGTCTGTATCACCGATTCACACGCCTCGTTCAACGCTCGGTCAATGCGGTAATCTGCACCAGGGTCAGTCTCTTGAATCAGGGTTTGAAGCTGGAAGAAAGAAATTGGGGACAGGAAAACCAAATTACAATGATCAAAACGAGAGCGCTTGCAACCTCCCAGCATGGCAATTCTACGTCAGTAACAACACCACCAGGTATGACCTCTGCTCTACGGTTGCTTATTTTAAGTGCTTGTGTTGCCGCCCTGGAACATCAGATGAGACTAGTCGCACGCTGAAGGTCACCTGTAAACCTGGACCACTTACGTACCGACCTACAGAACTGGTAAAATATAAATACTGTATTTTGGACCCAGCTTATGCTTTGGTGGCAACTTCATCTCATAAGGGTGATGATACCAAACACGCAAATTTGTCGTATTTTCATGAAGACTGTCTACAACTGAAACTCAAATCAATGTTTAAAGACCAATTGCTTAACTACAACAAAAGCTTAAAATAGTTTTTGAAGTGCCTGGAGAGGACAGAAGTTTTATTGAAATACAGAATAAAATGTCCTGTTCAGCTGTCCCATGAAGTAGCATTTCCTCAGGGATGCCTGCTCAGGCTTTTGGAAGCCAGGGTAACCACAGTTTGGTCTACAGTACATAATTTATTATTATTCACATACATATAAAAATATAAAAGCAGGGCACCAGGTGTTATCTACTTAAGAGAAGTCATGGTATAAGTGAAAGATGAAAACAAAAGCTTTCCAAAGATTTCGAGCCCAGGCGTGCCAACTTGAAGCTGTGATACCCCAGCACTCCCTCTGTGTCTTCTAAATACTTTCAACTGTCCTCGGTAAATACAGTATGAACAGTTTCATCAAGTCTTGTCTTCTTGTGAAACAGTTATTCTGATTAAAGCTTCAGAAAAATAACCGTCTTTTATTCATAACCAAACATAAGTGAGCATCTACAGCACTAAGTTTCAAAATCAGATCCAGACACAGTTCATGGCATCTGAACATGAATTTGGGAGGTGTCTGCTGGGCCAGGGGAAAGGAATTTGGGTAATTCTCAAGCTCACTTAACCTACAGTTTTGGGGAGAAAGGTACTTTCTGGGCCGTGACTCAGCCCATGATCCCCAAGCCCCTCTTGATTTCCCACCAAGCTGTATTTCCATAGACTGATGCACGGCAAATCGGCATCATCATTCAACAGGCAAACATTTTCAGCAGACAAATTTGGAGCAATAAAAAAAAAAAAAGAGCTTGCTTAGCAGGCAACTGCACACCGACATCAAATGGTCCACGCTGTTAACATCATGACACTTCTTAATGATTTTTGTCACTGGCCCTCAGCCCAACTAAATCAAAAGCACAGTTACAATTTTCTCCTCCATCTTTCAAAGCCTGCACCTAAACACCACCCAGGAATCCTTCAGGGGCAAAGCCCTCACATCACAAAACATGGAGAAGAAAAAAGCATCAGAGAACCGGAGAAAATAGAAGCTAGCGCTAGTTATCTAATAGGAAACTTGTAATCAAGAGCACAGACCACAGACTGCCTAGGAGGAATGCAGGATTTCCTGCGACTCGCTCTTGGCCTGAATTAATTCTGCCGAGTCTCAGCTCCTAAGGAATGCAGGCAGCTCGGACAAGCGCTGCCTAGCAGGCACAAGCTGCCGATTATAAAATTCTTGGGATGTTTTCACTAAAAAAATAACCATAACAAGAAACACTTTATACGACTCTGACAGTGGTCAAACAGAAGCCGATACAGGATTCAGTCCATAACAGGGAGCTGCACCTTAATCAGTGGAAGTGAGAAGTGGGAAGTCCTTCACAAAATTCCTCGGAGTCAACGGAAGAAGGAGAAGAATACGGTCGTTCTGCTGCCATGTACACACGCACCCAGCCCGCAAGGACGGGCACTCTGCACGTAAAGTGCAGAGCTCACTGTGTCAGATGTTTATACATAAAAAGGGATCAAGTATGATTACTGGAATTACTCCCTCAAGGACAAATGGATAAATAGAACCTGAAATCTGACACTCTCTTACGCACATTAAACAAACTCACCCAAGTACTATATAGGCAGGATTCCTCCTCAGGTCTCGGTTTAAGTGCTATTTGGGTTGCTATTAAGTGGCAGAGGACAAAGCGCTCGGGGTATGACAGCTCAGAAGCACCAGATCACTCCCCAGTCTCCCGGTCCCGGTTCGGGCACTGCTGCAGGATTCCCAGTCCTGATTCTCAGCCACGCACAAGATGTGCAGCAGTGAGCCAGCTGCCCTGACTGCAGGGGCAAGGGAATAATTTGGCATCAGTAATAAAAGTGAAGGTTTTATAGGATTTTCCTGCCTCCCACAACAAACCCCTCCAGCTGAAAAGCAGCTGGATGACCTTTATAATCCTCCAAACTTTTATCCTGATGTGGAACTAAATTAACAATTAACTACCGAGCTATCAGCTGTATTAGAAACCGAAAGCAGAAATTTCTGCCCTTTTAGCAAGGATTATGGTTTTACCTGCTTAAGAGACTGAACAGTAAAAACAAAGATGAGACTGGAGCAACATGAAGGTCACTTATTTGGAAACCGTTTCTCAGCAGTTCTACCAGAAAATACTGCGTCCACTGAGCAACACCACAGGTGCTAGACGCTGCCAGTGCAGCTGTAGATCTTTTAAGGGCCAACGCTCACAATTAAGGGACATGTCTATCTGCTGCCTGATGACCTGCAGCACCGCAGACCCACCTTCCCTACGAGCAGGATCACCACCTTTGAAGAACACCACAACAACGCCATTTGCAGAAGACCATTTAACGACTGGAACATATCAAAGCTGTATGTGCTGCCTCAAAGCAAGGAAGAGCTCGTTTTACACGGGAAGACAGGCTCCTGAAGTAGTACCTCATTCCCATGATTTCTTTTTTCTTACTGAAATGCATGCCCCTACAGACGTACATCAATAGTATAAATAATAGAAGCCTCGTCCTTTGATTCAGAACAGGCAGAGTGCTCTCCAAGGCAGCAAGGCCAAACTGCCCACAGCCCTTATGGGGGCACATTGCTAGAGCGTACCTGGGATGCGCCGGGGTGAGGAAGGCACTGACGCTTACAGTTAGGCAAGATAAGGCTGACCAAACACTCAGGAGTTTTTTTGAACCATTTTTATTACATAAAGCCATCGTTCCTCTACCGTTTACAGAACTTGGGCGCTTTGACAAGTTCAGTGATCAAAACAGAGACAAAAACCAGCTCGTAGATATTTGGAGGCAGGCACGCCTCTTGCACAACCGCACGGTTAATCACGAGCGCAGACTCTCATATGCCTGATCATTCTGGCTGAGGTGTCTCCAGAAATGAAACCCCTCAGATCAAGAAATTGGGGTTTGAGAAGGTTTGAGAATGCATTTCCTTGCCAGTTTTAAATACAAAGAATCGCTCGTATTCCTTCTGCAGGAAAATAAAATCACAGAGGTTCTTCAGTTACGTTTTGTTGTTCTGGGACTCTTTGTGCTGTTTTTGGCAGATGGGCAAACATCTTCCTTTCCTAAGGCAAGCAGAATCCGAGCAAACCTTGACAGACAGGACAGCAAGTAAAACCAGATCCAAATTAGATGTTTCCCATTCCCATTTCCTCAAGCAAACTGTCTAGGCAAGCACGCCTGAAGAATTCCAGGACTAGTCCCACTGCATTGAGCCAGCCAAGAAATTAAAGTGCTGTACCAGTGTTACCTACTAATGCTACTAAAAGCACAGACACAGAAGTTTGTGACTCCACTTATAAAAGACAACGTCTGGAGATGGGCCCAAAGTTCTCCAGCCAGCTCTGCTTGGACAACCCCGAAGCAACCACATTGTTTTCCTCTGTTCCCACAGGTGAAGGTAGAGATGCCACAGAGCAGTAGTTCCACCCTCAACAGCCACGTCAAAATTCAATCTGAGAGCACCAGCACCATGTCCCTGAAATAAGAATTGCCCAAGAACATCAGAAAGCAAGGACCAACATCAGTCACCTCTGGTCTAGCTGAACTTGGACTGAAGCCATGTGGACCACGCAGAAGCCAGGAAGCAAGCAAGCGGGAGATGGCTGAAGCAGCATCCTACCTGCAGATGAAGAGCCGCTGTAGACACAAAGTGATAGGAGTGCTCACCAACGCTGCATTGCAGACAAAAGAAACCCCACAAAACAAAACAATCCGTGCTCTGCGATGCAGTCTGCTTACCAGTTTTTGGAAAGCCCAACACAGGTCAGTCTTTCCTCCCTGAATGAATTTACTGAAGCGGCACTTCCGAGACCACAGAATCACACAGAATCACAGAATGGTAGGGGTTGGAAGGGACCTCTGTGGGTCATCTAGTCCAACCCTCCTGCCGAAGCAGGGTCACCCAGAGCAGGCTGCACAG